TCAGCATTCCACTTCACCTGATCTTTCAGGCATTCCTGTGTACAGGAATCGTAGCAGACATGTGGAAACAGGCTAACATAGTTCCAATCTACAAAAGTGGCAGCAGGGAAGACCCCCTCAATTATAGACCTGTATCATTGACAAGTGTAATAGTGAAAGTATTGGAAAAGCTAATCAAAACTAAATGGGTAGAACACCTGGAGAGAAATGATATAATATCAGACAGACAGTATGGTTTTCGATCAGGAAGATCCTGTGTATCGAATTTACTCAGTTTCTATGATCGGGCCACAGAGATATTACAGGAAAGAGATGGTTGGGTTGACTGCATCTATCTGGACCTAAAAAAGGCTTTCGACAGAGTTCCACATAAGAGGTTGTTCTGGAAACTGGAAAATATTGGAGGGGTGACAGGTAAGCTTCTATCATGGATGAAAAATTTTCTGACTGATAGAAAAATGAGGGCAGTAATCAGAGGCAATGTATCGGAATGGAGAAATGTCACAAGTGGAGTACCACAGGGTTCAGTTCTTGCACCAGTGATGTTTATTGTGTACATAAATGATCTACCAGTTGGTATACAGAATTATATGAACATGTTTGCTGATGATGCTAAGATAATAGGAAGGATAAGAAATTTAGATGATTGTCATGCCCTTCAAGAAGACCTGGACAAAATAAGTATATGGAGCACCACTTGGCAAATGGAATTTAATGTTAATAAATGTCATGTTATGGAATGTGGAATAGGAGAACATAGACCCCACACAACCCAACCCGTTCTCGCAAATTCGTAAAGTCAATATTGACTTATTAACTACGTGCACAGGTGATATACTAAACATAATAGATACCCTTAAAAAGATTCATAGAAAACACCGACCTTACCTAACCTTGTTAGTATCTTAAGATAAGCATCTTATTGCTTCGTATTTACAATTATTACTTAACCTATACCTATTATAGGTTAGGTAATAATTGTAATTACGAAGCAATAAGATGCTTATCTTAAGATACTAACAAGGTTAGGTAAGGTCGGTGTTTTCTATGAATCTTTTTAAGGGTATCTATTATGTTAAGTATGTCACCTATGCACATATTTAATAAGTCAATATTGACTTATTGAAATTGCGAGAACGGGTTGCACAACCTATATATTATGTGAGAAATCTTTAAAGAATTCTGATAAAGAAAGAGATCTAGGAGTGGTTCTAGATAGAAAACTATCACCTGAGGACCACATAAAGAATATTGTGCAAGGAGCCTATGCAATGCTTTCTAACTTCAGAATTGCATTTAAATACATGGATGGCGATATACTAAAGAAATTGTTCATGACTTTTGTTAGGCCAAAGCTAGAATATGCAGCTGTTGTGTGGTGCCCATATCTTAAGAAGCACATCAACAAACTAGAAAAGGTGCAAAGACATGCTACTAAGTGGCTCCCAGAACTGAAGGGCAAGAGCTACGAGGAGAGGTTAGAAGCATTAAATATGCCAAAACTAGTAGACAGAAGAAAAAGAGGTGATATGATCACTACGTACAAAATAGTAACAGGAATTGATAAAATCGACAGGGAAGACTTCCTGAGACCTGGAACTTCAAGAACAAGAGGTCATAGATTTAAACTAGCTAAACACAGATGCCGAAGAAATATAAGAAAATTCACCTTCGCAAATAGAGCGGTAGACGGTTGGAACAAGTTAAGTGAGAAGGTGGTGGAGGCCAAGACCGTCAGTAGTTTCAAAGCGTTATATGACAAAGAGTGCTGGGAAGACGGGACACCACGAGCGTAGCTCTCATCCTGTAACTACACTTAGGTAATTACACTTAGGTAATTACATAAAAGGCTGTTAAAAAAGTTGGAGCAACAGGCAGGAGTAAAAGGGAAGGTGCTCCAGTGGATAAGGGAGTACTTAAGCAACAGGAAACAGCGAGTAACGGTGAGGGGGGAGACATCAGAGTGGCGAGATGTCACCAGCGGAGTCCCACAGGGCTCAGTACTTGGACCCATCCTGTTTCTAATATATGTGAACGATCTTCCAGAGGGTATAGACTCATTCCTCTCGATGTTTGCTGATGATGCAAACATTATGAGAAGAATCAAGACGGATGAAGATAGACAGAGACTACAGGATGACCTGGATAAACTGGAGGAATGGTCTAGAAAATGGCTGCTGAAGTTCAACTCTGGAAAGTGTAAGGTGATGAAATTAGGCGAAGGGAGCAGGAGGCTGAACACAAGGTATCATCTGGGAGGGGAAATCCTGCAAGAATCAAATAGAGAGAAGGATCTGGGGGTTGATATCACACGAACCTGTCCCCAGAGGCCCACATCAAAAGAATATCATCAGCGGCATATGCTAGACTGACCAACATAAGAACTGCCTTCAGAAACTTGTGTAAGGAATCTTTCAGAACCCTGTATACCACTTATGTCAGACCAATCCTGGAGAATGCAGCTCCAGCCTGAAGTCCATACCTATCTTGAGGTTATCTTGAGATGATTTCGGGGCTTTAGTGTCCCCGCGGCCCGGTCCTCGACCAGGCCTCCACCCCCAGGAAGCCAGCTGACTAACTCCCAGGTACCTATTTACTGCTAGGTAACAGGGGCATTCAGGGTGAAAGAAACTTTTGCCCATTTGTTTCTGCCTCGTGCGGGAATCGAACCCGCAGCACAGAATTACGAATCCTGCGCGCTATCCACCAGGCTACGAGGCCCCCCACACACCTAGTTAAACACAAGACAAAGTTAGAGAAGATTCAGCGGTATGCCACCAGGCTCGTCCCGGAACTGAGAGGATTGAGCTACGAGGAAAGGCTAAAGGAGCTGAACCTCACATCCCTGGAAAACAGAAGAGTAAGGGGAGACATGATAACCACCTACAAAATTCTCAGGGGAATTGACAGGGTGGACAAAGACAAACTCTTCAGCACGGGTGGGACACGAACAAGGGGACACAGGTGGAAACTTAGTACCCAGATGAGCCACAGAGACGTTAGAAAGAATTTTTTCAGTGTCAGAGTAGTTAATAAATGGAATGCACTAGGAAGTGATGTGGTGGAGGCTGACTCCATACACAGTTTCAAGTGTAAATATGATAGAGCCCAATAGGCTCAGAAACCTGTACACCTGTTGATTGACAGTTGAGAGGCGGGACCAAAGAGCCAAAGCTCAACCCCCGCAAGCACAATTAGGTGAGTACATGCAGCCCCGTGGCCACACACGCACCACCGTGGCCACACACGCACCACCGTGGCCACACACGCACCACCGTGGCCACACATTATACGTGGCCCTCAATTATAGACCTGTATCATTGACAAGTGTAATAGTGAAAGTATTGGAAAAACTAATCAAAACTAAATGGGTAGAACACCTAGAGAGAAATGATATAATATCAGACAGACAGTATGGTTTTCGATCTGGAAGATCCTGTGTATCGAATTTACTCAGTTTCTATGATCGAGCCACAGAGATATTACAGGAAAGAGATGGTTGGGTTGACTGCATCTATCTGGACCTAAAAAAGGCTTTCGACAGAGTTCCACATAAGAGGTTGTTCTGGAAACTGGAAAATATTGGAGGGGTGACAGGTAAGCTTCTATCATGGATGAAAAATTTTCTGACTGATAGAAAAATGAGGGCAGTAATCAGAGGCAATGTATCAGAATGGAGAAATGTCACAAGTGGAGTACCACAGGGTTCAGTTCTTGCACCAGTGATGTTTATTGTGTACATAAATGATCTACCAGTTGGTATACAGAATTATATGAACATGTTTGCTGATGATGCTAAGATAATAGGAAGGATAAGAAATTTAGATGACTGTCATGCCCTTCAAGAAGACCTGGACAAAATAAGTATATGGAGCACCACTTGGCAAATGGAATTTAATGTTAATAAATGTCATGTTATGGAATGTGGAATAGGAGAACATAGACCCCACACAACCTATATATTATGTGAGAAATCTTTAAAGAATTCTGATAAAGAAAGAGATCTAGGAGTGGTTCTAGATAGAAAACTATCACCTGAGGACCACATAAAGAATATTGTGCAAGGAGCCTATGCTATGCTTTCTAACTTCAGAATTGCATTTAAATACATGGATGGCGATATACTAAAGAAATTGTTCATGACTTTTGTTAGGCCAAAGCTAGAATATGCAGCTGTTGTGTGGTGCCCATATCTTAAGAAGCACATCAACAAACTGGAAAAGGTGCAAAGACATGCTACTAAGTGGCTCCCAGAACTGAAGGGCAAGAGCTACGAGGAGAGGTTAGAAGCATTAAATATGCCAAAACTAGAAGACAGAAGAAAAAGAGGTGATATGATCACTACATACAAAATAGTTACAGGAATTGATAAAATCGACAGGGAAGACTTCCTGAGACCTGGAATTTCAAGAACAAGAGGCCATAGATTTAAACTAGCTAAACACAGATGCCGAAGAAATATAAGAAAATTCACCTTCGCAAATAGAGTGGTAGACGGTTGGAACAAGTTAAGTGAGAAGGTGGTGGAGGCCAAGACCGTCAGTAGTTTCAAAGCGTTATATGACAAAGAGTGCTGGGAAGACGGGACACCACGAGCGTAGCTCTCATCCTGTAACTACACTTAGGTAATTACTTAGGTAATTACACGCACCACCGTGGCCACACACGCACCACCGTGGCCACACACGCACCACCGTGGCCACACACGCACCACCGTGGCCACACACGCACCACCGTGGCCACACACGCACCACCGTGGCCACACACGCACCACCGTGGCCACACACGCACCACCGTGGCCACACACGCACCACCGTGGCCACACATGCACCACCGTGGCCACACACGCGGCCCCGTGACAGGAAAAAAAAAAGAGTTGGAACCGTAGTGAGGTGCGGGCTCCCACACCTCATCCCGGCCTCACTTGGAGCGCCCAAACCTCACTTTGCGGGCCTCAGCGGGCGGCCTCACCCTCACCACCCTCACGCCCGCCTCATTACCTATGAGTATGGATATGAGGAGCCGCAGTGCCGGCTCCGGCGCCCCGAGGAAGTTGGCAAAAGGTTGAAGAAACGTTCCGTGATCTGGCGCCGCCTCAGCCATGTTTGTTGTTGTGGAGCGATCAGCTGATGGGCCGGGTCTGGCGGGCCCGGGCTGGCGCAGGTTGGCGCGCACCCTCCTGCTGCTGCTGCCTCTCCCTGCTGCTGCTGCTGCCTCTCCCTGCTGCTGCTGCTGCTGCCTCTCCCTGCTGCTGCCTCTCCCTGCTGCTGCTGCTGCCTCTCCCTGCTGCTGCTCTCCCTGCTGCTGCTGCTGCTCTCTCCCTGCTGCTGCTGCTGCTGCCTCTCCCTGCTGCTGCTGCTGCTGCTGCTCTCCTGCTGCTGCTGCTGCTGCTGCTGCTGCTGCCTCTCTGCCTGCTGCTGCTGCTGCTGCCTCTCCCTGCTGCTGCTGCTGCTGCTCTCCCTGCTGCTGCTGCTGCCTCTCCCTGCTGCTGCTGCTGCTGCCTCTCCCTGCTGCTGCTGCTGCTGCCTCTCCCTGCTGCTGCTGCTGCCTCTCCCTGCTGCTGCTGCTGCCTCTCCCTGCTGCTGCCTGCTGCTGCTGCTGCTGCTGCCTCTCCCTGCTGCTGCCTCTCCCTGCTGCTGCTGCCTCTCCCTGCTGCTGCTGCTGCTGCTCTGCCCTCTGCTGCTGCTGCTGCCTCTCCCTGCTGCTACTGCTGCCTCTCCCTGCTGCTACTGCTGCCTCTCCCTGCTGCTACTGCTGCCTCTCCCTGCTGCTGCTGCCTCTCCCTGCTGCTGCTGCTGCCTCACCCTGCTGCTGCTGCCTCACCCTGCTGCTGCTGCCTCCCCCTGCTGCTGCTGCTGCCTCACCCTGCTGCTGCCTCACCCTGCTGCTGCTGCCTCACCCTGCTGCTGTTGCTGCCTCTCCCTGCTGCTGGCTCACCCTGCTGCTGCTGCTGCCTCACCCTGCTGCTGCTGGCTCACCCTGCTGCTGCTGCTGGCTCACCCTGCTGCTGCTGCTGGCTCCCTGCTGCTGCTGCTGCCTCACCCTGCTGCTGCTGCTGCCTCACCCTGCTGCTGCTGCTGCTCACCCTGCTGCTGCTGCTGCCTCACCCTGCTGCTGCTGCTCACCCTGCTGCTGCTGCTGCTGCTGCTGCTGCCTCACCCTGCTGCTGCTGCTGCCTCACCCTGCTGCTGCTGCTGCCTCACCCTGCTGCTGCTGCTGCCTCACCCTGTTGCTGCTGCCTCACCCTGCTGCTGCTGCTGCTGCTGCCTCACCCTGCTGCTGCTGCTGCCTCACCCTGCTGCTGCTGCTGCCTCACCCCTGCTGCCTGCTGCCTCACCCTGCTGCTGCTGCTGCCTCACCCTGCTGCTGCTGCTGCCTCACCCTGCTGCTGCTGCTGCCTCACCCTGCTGCTGCTGCTGCCTCACCCTGCTGCTGCTGCTGCCTCACCCTGCTGCTGCTGCTGCCTCACCCTGCTGCTGCTGCTGCCTCACCCTGCTGCTGCTGCTGCCTCACCCTGCTGCTGCTGCTGCCTCACCCTGCTGCTGCTGCTGCCTCACCCTGCTGCTGCTGCTGCCTCACCCTGCTGCTGCTGCTGCCTCACCCTGCTGCTGCTGCTGCCTCACCCTGCTGCTGCTGCTGCTGCCTCACCTCACCCTGCTGCTGCTGCTGCCTCACCCTGCTGCTGCTGCTGCCTCACCCTGCTGCTGCTGCTGCCTCACCCTGCTGCTGCTGCTGCCTCACCCTGCTGCTGCTGCTGCCTCACCCTGCTGCTGCTGCTGCCTCACCCTGCTGCTGCTGCTGCCTCACCCTGCTGCTGCTGCTGCCTCACCCTGCTGCTGCTGCTGCCTCACCCTGCTGCTGCTGCTGCCTCACCCTGCTGCTGCTGCTGCTGCTGCCTCACGCTGTTGTAACACGGTGGGGAAGAGGGTATAGCGAATGAGACTCTGCTGATGAATGAGACTCTGCTGATGAATGAGACTCTGCTGATGAATGAGACTCTGCTGATGAATGAGACTCGGCTGATGAATGAGACTCTGCTGATGAATGAGACTCTGCTGATGAATGAGACTCTGCTGATGAATGAGACTCTGCTGATGAATGAGACTCTGCTGATGAATGAGACTCGGCTGATGAATGAGACTCGGCTGATGAATGAGACTCTGCTGATGAATGAGACTCGGCTGATGAATGAGACTCTACTGATGAATGAGACTCTGCTGATGAATGAGACTCGGCTGATGAATGAGACTCTGCTGATGAATGAGACTCTGCTGATGAATGAGACTCTGCTGATGAATGAGACTCTACTGATGAATGAGACTCTACTGATGAATGAGACTCGGCTGATGAATGAGACTCTGCTGATGAATGAGACTCTGCTGATGAATGAGACTCTGCTGATGAATGAGACTCTGCTGATGAATGAGACTCGGCTGATGAATGAGACTCGGCTGATGAATGAGACAGCTGATGAATGAGACTCGGCTGATGAATGAGACAGCTGATGAATGAGACTCGGCTGATGAATGAGACAGCAGGGGGTGGGGGTGAGTGAGGGTCAGTAACCTTCACAAGAGCAACTCGCGCCAGGCAGGTGTTGGGAGAGCTGAGTGTTGTGGGATTACCACCGCGAGATAACATGTACCGCAAGATAACTCACACGGCAAGATAACATACACCGGGAGATTATGATCAGAACGTTACCTGTTATCTCTGGAGATGCCCAGTGGTGCCAAGGACAGTGTTTGTACCACAGCTTGGAACACTCTCTCCTTATAGTCTACATGAATGGGATAAAATAGTTTACCTTAGTGGCTCTCTATAATGTTTCTATTAAGAACTGGAAGGAGAAACTAAATTATTTCTCTCCCTGGCTTTATAGAATGTCAATTTCTTGCCTACGAAGTCTCCACTGTATCATATATTTACTTACCTGAGGGCCACTAGCACCCTATAGTGACCTAGACGAGGACAGGAAGCCGACAGCTTGTCAAAGCTCCCCCCTATGTGTCCTAGGGATTTTTTTCCAGCTGGATTTTAAAGTTCAGTAGAGTTTTGGCATTTACAGCTTCGGCGGGTAGGCGGTTCCACGGGTTAATAACCCCTGTGGATGAACAATTTCATGTTCTCAGTCCATGTTGTTCCTTGTTTGTGTTACATCTGAACATCTGAAGACACTATCTGGGTTAACATTCTCCAAATTGTTCACAACTCGTCCTCTTAATACAAATTAGTCGCATTTTAACGCATATACTCTACCTACGGCCACAAATTGTCGTACTAGTATAATAATATCATAATTTATTCAGGTAAAAGTACATGCATACGAAATGAGTTCCAAGCAGAATGGTGGATTTCTAGATAGAGTAAGTATGTACTATGCCTAGAGCCACTAATACGCACAGCGTTTCCGGCAAGATGGGGGGAAAAGACTAGAAAATTGATGCGGCTCACGAAATTCACATACTGTCCCGTTTTCTGTTTTGGGTCCTCTGGTTGGTTAGGATAAGGGGGGGCACTTTAGTTCGACAGTTTATTGACGTTGGAGAGGCTTAGGAGGACGGGCTGGGTTCCTAGTGTGACAGTCGTGGTTCCCGGGGCCCACCAGAGACTTATATGCAGTATAATGACTACCTAAAATATGGAATTTTATTGCAATCTTACCTTACTGACAGGCTCTAGTATGTTTCTGTGAATAATTCAATTTTCCTACACTACCCATAAACATTGGTGTTCCACAGGGCAGCATACTTGGCCCTCTCCTCTTTCTCATTTCAAGAGATGCCTCATTTCAAGAGGCATTTGGAAGGTCATTAAGACCTTCCAAATGCCTCTCAACACCTCAAACCAATCTTATTTGCTGATGACACAACTTTCATTTTCTGCAGTCCTGACCCGCTTGCTCTAAATGTCACTGTGAATACTGAACTAAATAAAGTCCATCTTTGGCTAACTACTAACAAACTCACCCTTAACACTGACAAAACTTTCTATATTTTGTTTGGTAATAAATCCTTAAATACAATTAATCTAAGAATAAACAATATATAAATCAGTAGAAAAGTTGATTGTAAATTCCTTGGTGTCCTCATCGATAACAAACTGAATTTCCAGGGACACATTCTAAATATAGCAAAAAAAGTTTCTAAAACTGTTGGCATTCTTTCTAAGATCAGATATTATGTTCCTCGCCCTGCCCTGGTAACTCTCTATTACTCTCTCATCTATCCTTATCTCAACTATGGTATTTGTGCTTGAGGTTCTACTACCCAAAATCACTTACGTCCTCTAATTACTCAACACAAAGCTGCTATTAGGACAATATCCAACTCTGGCCCCAGACATCACTCGGTACCCCTACTCAAATCTCTGAATATGTTGGATTTTAAGTCACTGTTCATCCTCTCTTGTGTACTCTATATATTTAAAACTCTGAACTGTAATGCCAATCCTGACCTTAAAAGCTTCCTAGAAGGTTGTAACAGAACCCATGAGCACCACACCAGAAACAAATACCTATTTGATATTCCAAGAGTACGACTTAATCAAACTAGAAATGCTCTACAAATCAAGGGACCCAGAATGTGGAATGACCTTCCCAACCATGTCAAAGACTGTACCTCTCTCTTAACCAGTTTAAGAGTAAAACTAAGTACTACCTAATTAACTCCCTGTAACCTACCTCACCCCTAAATTCAAGTACCTACGGGCTCACTATAGCCCGTGCTACTTGGAACTGCTTGTTCCAAGTAGCGAATCTTTAACCACAACCCTAAATTCAGGGCAGAAGAGTTTCCAATAGTAACACATGTTGTTATTGACTTACAGCTGACTTACTCTCTAGTACAAGGGGAATATCCACAAAATTTTTATGACACAATAAAACAAACACAAAGTTAATATTATCAACCAGGTATTATGATTCTCAACGACACTCCCTTGGTGGACGACCCCCTCGTAGACGACAGCGTCGACCCCGTGTTGGACGTGGCCTTGTGGGGCGACAAGGCCGTCACGCCCTTCGTGGCTTCGGTCCACGTGTGGCCACGGAGCCTGGCCGTGGCCACCCTGGCCCTGGCCGGCGGCGGGAAGATGTTGCTTGTCACCTATATGGTGGACGGCGAGGGTCTGAAGCGCCTGCTGGTGCTGGCCAGTCTTGTTGTGATCCTCCTGACGGTGCTGCTGGTGGCCAGGGTCCTGCGGGGCCGTGACCAGGGCCGTGACCGTGGCCGTGGCCGTGACCAGGGCCGTGACCAGGGCCGTGACCGTGGCAGCCGTGACGAGAGCTGGGAAGACATGACAAAGAGGAAGACAAAGAGGAGGAGAAGAACGGTGGCGGTAAAGACGACGGCCATCAGCCGTGTCTTCTCCGGAAGAGGCAAGAGGTGGAGGAGGAAGAGGAGACAGGGAGGAGCTTGTGCCAGCACCGGATGGTGCCTTGTCTCCTGGCTCCGTCTCCTCCCCTCCCGTGTCTCCTCTACCCTCACCTCACTCACCTCCCTTCTCCTCTTTCTCGAGTCCTTCCTCAGTTCAGTAGCAACCCAGCTGCTGTTGATCACTTCCGCTTGCAACAATGTCTCCGCGGCGCTGTCAACTGTGTTGTCAGCGGCAGCCACTCTCTCCTCCACTCTTGGCCGCGAGTTCTCCTCCTACACGCAACAATCCTTCACTCGCGTGTGAAGGTCGCGGGCCTTCACTCGCGTGTGAAGGTCGCGGGCCTTCACTCGCGTGTGAAGGTCGCGGGCCTTGACCAGCGACTCCAGGCACTTGACCAGCGACTCCAGGCACTTGACCAGCGACTCCAGGCACTTGACCAGCGACTCCAGGCACTTGACCAGCGACACACCTGCCAGGCTGGTCAACCACACCTGATCACTCCCGCGGCCCTACCACTGGTAGGGGCCGATGGAGTCACTCCCGCGGCCCTACCACTGGTAGGGGCCGATGGAGTCACTCCCGCGGCCCTACCACAGGTAGGGGCTGGGGGAGTGGCAGGTGTGGTTGGCCAGCCTGGCAGGTATGTCGCTGGTCAAGGAGTCAACACTGTACACTCTTATCTAACGGCTATTATTTCTTTGAATAATCATCACTGTTCCTTCTACTTGGTGGTGAGGGAGGCCGGCCTCGGGTGAGGGGCTGTGACGACCTCTGTCTGGGACCCGCAGGTGCGGGACCGGGTCGTCCACCTCCCGGGGGTCGTGCGGCCCCCCAGGCTCTGCTTCAGGAGGCTGGGGTCGTTCACTTGATGGGGTGGTTCTTCTCCGGCCACGACCACGGCGGTCTCCGGGGTTGGAGGTCCCTGTGGCCTTCGAGGTCATCTCCGGAACTCACAGTTCCTGCGACGGCGCTGGAACCAATCGTATTGGCGTGTGCCTTTCCATTAGAGACTTTCAGCGCCGTGGAGAGGGGGGACCTGCTGCATGGGTAACAGCTTCTCCCCCGAATCAACCTACCCAGGCTTTGCGCCCTGGTGAGGCCACTCCAGACCAGGCCGACACCAAAGTGCAAGTCCATAGTCTCCTGAGACTGATGGATGCCTACTACTACTACTAGTTTTACTCTTAAACTGGTTGGGAGAGGTACAGTCTTTAACATGGTTGGGAAGGTCATTCCACATTCTGGGTCCCTTGATTTGTAGAGCATTTCTAGTTTGATTAAGTCGTACTCTTGGAATATCAAATAGGTATTTGTTTCTGGTGTGGTGCTCATGGGTTCTGTTACAACCTTCTAGGAAGCTTTTAAGGTCAGGATTGACATTACAGTTCAGAGTTTTAAATATATAGAGTACACAAGAGAGGATGAACAGTGACTTAAAATCCAACATATTCAGAGATTTGAGTAGGGGTACCGAGTGATGTCTGGGGCCAGAGTTAGATATTGTCCTAATAGCAGCTTTGTGTTGAGTAATTAGAGGACGTAAATGATTTTGGGTAGTAGAACCCCAAGCACAAATACCATAGTTGAGATAAGGATAGATGAGGGAGTAATAGAGCGTCACCAGGGCAGGGCGAGGTACATAATATCTGATCTTAGAAAGAATGCCAACAGTTTTAGAATTTTTTTTTTCCTATATTTAGAATGTGTCCCTGGAAATTCCGCTTGTTATCGATGAGAAACTATTACTAATTTGGATATTGTTTATTCTTAGATTAATTTGATTTGAGGATTTATTACCAAACAAAATATAGAAAGTTTTGTCAATGTTAAGAGTGAGTTTGTTAGCAGTTAGCCAAAAATGGATTTTATTTAGTTCAGTATTCATTGTGACATTTAGAGCAAGCGGGTCAGGACTGCAGAAAACGAAGGTTGTGTCTTCATAAAGTAGAATTGGTTTGAGGTATTGTGAGGCATGTGGAAGGTCATTAATGTATATGAGAAAGAGGAGAGGACCAAGTATGCTGCCCTGAGGAACACAAATGTTTATGGGTTGTGTAGGAGATATGGAATTATTCACAGAAACATACTGGAGCCTGTCAGTAAGGTAAGACTGAAGGTATTGCAGGGAGTGACCTCTGACTCCATAATGATGTAATTTAAGAAGAAGGTTTAGGTGGTTGACAGTGTCAAAAGCTTTACGCAGGTCCACAAATAACCCAACAGGGAACTCATTTTTATCAAGAGCTGCATGTAGCAAGTTAATCATACTAATAAGTGCATCGTTAGTACTTTTATTGGGTCTGAAGCCATATTGGCAAGAGCTCAGTATATTGAGTTTGGCTAAATATGAGTAAAGCTGCTTGTAGATTAGCTTTTCAAATTTTTTTGACAAGGTTGGCAGGATTGAGATAGGTCTGTAATTGTTGACATCAGTGAGATCACCACATTTGTGGACTGGGGATACTCTCGCTTTCTTTTTATAATATCCGGAAAGGTTTGGAGTTCAAGTGACTTGTTGAAGAGCAATGCAATGGCAGGAGCTAGAAATCTGGAGGCTTTTTTGTAACTTAGAGATGGTATCTCCTCAAGGGCGCTTGACTTAGTTTTAAGGGAAAGGATTACCTCATTAACATCAGAGGAAGTAGCAGGAGCGAGGTACAGAGACTCTGGATAGTTACCTGTAAGGTAGTCTTTAATATTAGTGAGTGAGGATGGAATATCATGAGCAAGGGATGTCCCAATGGATGAAAAGAACCTATTGAATTCAATAGCAGTGTTTGAGGCCGAAAGCACGGCATCATCATTGGCTAAGAGAATTGGTTTTTTATTCAAAATCTTTTTTGAAGCTAATATCTGGGAGATAGTGCTCCATGTTTTCTTAATGTTGCCCTTAATTTAGGTAAATTTATTTTCGTAGTATTTTATTTTGGCTCTTCTAATTATTTTAGACAGCATTGATGAGTAAATCTTTGAAAATTCTTTGGAGACGACTCCAAACCTATACTTCTTCTTAAGGTCATGTTTTTTATTAATAGATTTAAGTACCCCCTTTGTAAGCCATGGAGTGTTTAGCCATTTATTTGTGACTTGTTTCGTTATCATTGGACAGTGGGAGTTATAAAGGTTCAGAGTTTTCTGAAGAAATGTTAATCTACGTAAAATTAATAGTTACTCTACGTTACTCTCTGCCACATTCTACGTTAATAAATGTTAATAATGTTAATCTACGTATACCATAGATATGATATAATATCATTAATAAATCATAAATAAATTAGAGCATGGGTTAGTTCGCTAACTACTAAATTTGAATATTTGGAAGGTTAGCTGCCACAGACGAATGGAGAATACGTAATATATAAAACTTTGAACTGTAATGCCAATCCTGACCTTAAACGCTTCCTAGAAGGTTGTAACAGAACCCATGAGCACCACACCAGAAATAAATACCTATTTGATATACCAAGAGTACGACTTAATCAAACTAGAAATGCTCTACAAATCAAGGGACCCAGAATGTGGAATGACCTTCCCAATTATGTTAAAGACTGTAGATTTCTATAAAAAAAAACTATCAAAAAGCCCCTTCGCTTGTTAACGGGGAGCCCCTAAGCAACTATTCCTTTGTGTTGGAGGTACTTCAGCCATCTACTTTGGTCTTGGAGGCACTACAGCCACCTAACCTTGGTCTTGGAGGCACTACAGCCACCTACCTTGGTCCTTGGTTGTAGTGCCTCCAAGACCAAGGAAGGTGACTGTAGTGCCTCCAAGACCAAGGTAGGTGACTGCAGTGCCTCCAAGACCAAGGTAGGTGATTGTAGTGCCTCCAAGACCAAGGTAGGTGACTGTAGTGCCTCCAAGACCAAGGTTAGGTGGCTGTAGTACCTCCAAGACCAAGGTAGGTGACAGTAGCACCTCCAAGACCAAGGTAGGTGGCAGTAGCACCTCCAAGACCAAGGAAGGTGACTGTAGTGCCTCCACGACCAAGGTAGTTGACTGTAGCACCTCCAAGACCAAGGTAGGTGACAGTAGCACCTCCAAGACCAAGGTAGGTGACAGTAGCACCTCCAAGACCAAGGTAGGTGACTGTAGCACCTCCAAGACCAAGGTAGTTGACTGTAGCACCTCCAAGACCAAGGTAGGTGACTGTAGCACCTCCAAGACCAAGGTAGGTGACTGTAGCACCTCCAAGACCAAGGTAGGTGACAGTAGCACCTCCAAGACCAAGGTAGGTGACAGTAGCACCTCCAAGACCAAGGTAGGTAACAGTAGCACCTCCAAGACCAAGGTAGGTGACTGTAGCACCTCCAAGACCAAGGTAGTTGACTGTAGCACCTCCAAGACCAAGGTAGGTGACTGTAGCACCTCCAAGACCAAGGTAGTTGACTGTAGCACCTCCAAGACCAAGGTAGGTGACAGTAGCACCTCCAAGACCAAGGTAGGTGACAGTAGCACCTCCAAGACCAAGGTAGGTGACAGTAGCACCTCCAAGACCAAGGTAGGTGACTGTAGCACCTCCAAGACCAAGGTAGGTGACTGTAGCACCTCCAAGACCAAGGTAGGTGACTGTAGCACCTCCAAGACCAAGGTAGGTGACAGTAGCAACTCCAAGACCAAGGTAGGTGACAGTAGCACCTCCAAGACCAAGGTAGGTGACAGTAGCACCTCCAAGACCAAGGTACGTGACTGTAGCACCTCCAAGACCAAGGTAGATGACTGTAGCACCTCCAAGACCAAGGTAGTTGACTGTAGCACCTCCAAGACCAAGGTAGTTGACTGTAGCACCTCCAAGACCAAGGTAGGTGACAGTAGCACCTCCAAGACCAAGGTAGGTGACTGTAGCACCTCCAAGACCAAGGTAGGTGACAGTAGCACCTCCAAGACCAAGGTAGGTGACTGTAGCACCTCCAAGACCAAGGTAGGTGACTGTAGCACCTCCAAGACCAAGGTAGGTGACTGTAGCACCTCCAAGACCAAGGTAGGTGACTGTAGCACCTCCAAGACCAAGGTAGGTGACAGTAGCACCTCCAAGACCAAGGTAGGTGACAGTAGCACCTCCAAGACCAAGGTAGGTGACAGTAGCACCTCCAAGACCAAGGTAGGTGACTGTAGCACCTCCAAGACCAAGGTAGTTGACTGTAGCACCTCCAAGACCAAGGTAGGTGACAGTAGCACCTCCAAGACCAAGGTAGTTGACTGTAGCACCTCCAAGACCAAGGTAGGTGACAGTAGCACCTCCAAGACCAAGGTAGGTGACTGTAGCACCTCCAAGACCAAGGTAGGTGACAGTAGCACCTCCAAGACCAAGGTAGGTGACTGTAGCACCTCCAAGACCAAGGTAGGTGACAGTAGCACCTCCAAGACCAAGGTAGGTGACTGTAGCACCTCCAAGACCAAGGTAGGTGACTGTAGCACCTCCAAGACCAAGGTAGGTGACTGTAGTACACCTAAAGCTTGTCCTGCTTCCACCTGGTCTTAGAGGTACTGAAGTACCTCCAAGTAGTACCTACCTCCAAGAAGTACCTACACCCACCTACCTGCTTCCACAGGTGGGAGCAAGACAAGAGGACACAGGTGGAAGCAAGACAAGAGGACACAGGTGGAAGCAAGACAAGAGGACACAGGTGGAAGCAGGACAAGAGGACACAGGTGGAAGCAGGACAAGAGGACAAGAGGACAAGGTGGAAGCAAGACAAGAGGACACAGGTGGAAGCAGGACACAGAGGACACAGGTGGAAGCAGGACAAGAGGACACAGGTGGAAGCAAGACAAGAGGACACAGAGCAGACACAGAGTGGAAGCAGGACAAGAGGACACAGGTGGAAGCAAGACAAGGTGGAGCAGGACAAGGACACAGGTGGAAGCAGGACAAGAGGACACAGGTGGAAGCAAGACAAGAGGACACAGGTGGAAGCAAGACAAGAGGACACAGGTGGAAGCAGGACAAGAGGACACAGGTGGAAGCAGGACAAGAGGACACAGGTGGAAGCAAGACAAGAGGACACAGGTGGAAGCAAGACAAGAGGACACAGGTGGAGCAGGACAAGAGGACACAGGTGGAAGCAAGACAAGAGGACACAGGTGGAAGCAGGACAAGAGGACACAGGTGGAAGCAGGACAAACAGACACAGGTGGAAGCAAGACAAGCGGACACAGGTGGAGCAGGACAAGAGGACACAGGTGGAAGCAGGACAAGCGGACACAGGTGGAAGCAAGACAAGAGGACACAGGTGGAAGCAGGACAAGAGGACACAGGTGGCAAGCAAGACACAGGTGGAAGCAGGACACACAGGTGGAAGCAGGACAAGAGGACACAGGTGGAAGCAAAGAGGACACAGGTGGAGCAGGACAAGCACACAGGTGGAAGCAGGACAAGCAGGACACAGGTGGAAGCAGGACAAGAGGACACAGGTGGAAGCAAGACAAGACAAGAGGACACAGGTGGAAGCAAGACAAGAGGACACAGGTGGAAGCAAGACAAGCGGACACAGGTGGAGCAGGACAAGAGGACACAGGTGGAAGCAAGACAAGAGGACACAGGTGGAAGCAGGAAACCTAAATGAGACAAAGGAATGTAAGAAATACTCGCACCTTATACGATTGGGCAGCAAAAGGAATGCCCTAAAAGAAGGAGTTATGGAAGCCGCCTTCATCCACAAATTTAGGGTCAGATTTGACAACAAATTTGAACGTGTAAATAGTTCATATGTAATACATCAGTTACAAACACGAGTAGTAGGCGGGGCATAAAGAGCTAGACCTCACTTCCATATAGACACTGTCAGGTAAGCACAAAGCTGCTTTGGAGAAAGTGCAACTATGGGCAACAAAAATCATTCCAGAGCTAAGTCGACTCTCACACTGGGAACGGTTGAGGGCCTCAGGGCTCAGCGTAACTTGATATAGTAAACAGCTGGTGGATATTAACCTCCGACAGAAACTTCTTCAAAAGTTCAGATGTAACACAAACAAGGAGCAACGGGTTCAAGCTCAACACGCCTCAATGTTGGACTGAGAACAGAGATGCTTGTTCACCCACAGGGTTAGTAACCTTTGGAGCCGCTTACCCTCCGAAGCCGTAAATGCTAAAACTCTGTTAAATTGCAAAATCCTGCTTGAGAAAATCATCAGGGCAAATGGAGTACCTTTGACAAGCTGCTGGCTTCCTGTCCTCGTCGAAGTCATTAGTAGCCTAATCCACAAAAATCATAATTTTGTGATTTGACATCCTTGATGGTGTTTGTGCATAGCATGACATGATCACTAATTACCTTTTGCCTTAATGATCTGTAGACAGCATTGTTTAAGAGACCAGGAGCTGGGATTGTGTGCTCGGCCACCAGGGCGAGTAGACGTGTTGGCTGCTCTCTCCAGTCGTGGGTGTGTCCAACTAGCGGCTGGTCCTTGGTTGGCTTGTGCCCGGCGTGCCCGGCGTGCCCGGCGTGCCCGGCGTGCCCGGCGTGCCTGGCGTGCCTGGCGTGATGGGGGGACCCTTGACCTCCATACCAAGGGCTCAGTCAGTTAGCTTGGAGTATTCCGGCATTGTGGATTACCTCACAGTGGAACAGATGTTATTTATGTGCTGGGTATTGACGTGGGTGCCGTGTGTGGTGTGGAACTCTTGACGAGGCATAAGGCGGTGGTGAAGCTCTCCACTGGCGAGGACTACCAGGTGTTTCTGCGCCGATTTGAAGGGCGTAGTTTCCAGGTGCCGGCTGCTGCTGGGTCGGTTGTTATCTCCTACCGCAGTGGCACTTCTACCTAAGTCAGTGTACATGGTGCCCCTATCGAATTACCGGAGGACTTGATGAGGCGATACTTTGGGCAGTTTAGAAAGATAGTGAATGTGAGGGTGAATGTTATCTCCTCCAGTCACTTGAAGGCCAACCTCAACGGCATCCGGACGCTGGAGATGTGGCTACGATCTGACATCCCTTCTTCCGTCAGGCTGATGTGGTACTACGTCCATGTTAATTACACCCGACAGCCGCGGACTTGTTTCCGTTGTGGGTTGTCAGGCCACATGGCTGCAGGGTGCTCTGCTGGCGCCGTCCTCCACGTTAATCTATTCTGCGAGGACTTCCCCCCTTCCATTGATTATTGAAGAGGCTCCGGAGGGTGTGGGTGTGCCTTTGGATATGCGCACCATATAGACGCACATGTCGTCATATGCGTCTTCTATGGCTGGCGTGAGTGCTGTCGGTGTAAATACAGTTCAGCGGGTCACCCTTCCCATGGCCTCCCACTTCTGCAGCTGTTGTGCCTTTGTTCTCCCGTGGATCACGCCACGGCTCCCTCACCACTCCTGCCTGCTGTGTCAGTGGGGTCGCGGCCTCCTGTCGTGTTTTGCCCCCCCCCCTCACCCGGGCCGTAGCCGCCACTGAGGTTTTGCACGCCCGTGCCAGGTCGCAGACTCCCTGCGTCACTCGGGTGTCTGATTCCGTGACAGTGGGGAGCTCAGATGACCTGCGCCCTGACCGTAAGTGCTTGCGGCGCTCTTCGTGACGGGTGCTGTTCCTTCCTCTGTGGAAGATGATGCGGCCTGTGAATTCCTGGTAACTCTTAACAAAGATGGTCGACGAGGGGGCTCTGCGCCTGTGGCCAGCGACCCATTACGAGTTTGGGCCCTGTGATGTCTCCCCTTTCTGGAGAAGGGGGTGGTTGCCTCATCAGGGGGTATCGGGTATCGGTTGCTGATGAGTAGTCTGGACCCAGTCTGGGGGTCCGAGTGCGGCCGGTTCCCTGGTGCTCGTCCACCGTGTGGGTGCCCACCATGAAGGCTTTCATCTCTGATGTTCATGATTTTATGAAGCGCCGTCAGGGGAAGTCTGGCGAGCGTATTCAGGAAGATGAGTGGTTCGTTTGAGAGAAGTATTGTTTGCGGTTTCCGGAGAAGGATTAGTAGGCATCCATCAGTCTCAGGAGACTATGGAGTTGCACTCTGATGTCGGCCTGGTCTGGAGTGGCCTCACCAGGGCGCAAAGCCTGGGTAGGTTGATACAGGGGAGAAGCTGTTACCCATGCAGCAGGTCCCCCCTCTCCACGGCGCTGAAAGTCTCCAATGGAATGGCATACGCCAATACGATTGGTTCCAGCGCCGTCGCAGGAACTGCGAGTTCCGGAGATGACCTCGAAGTTGGTGAAGAAGTCCATTATAAGGATTATCCACATATATATATGTAGGCGTTGCCTTCTCACATGTCCCCGGCCTTTGGCATATTGATGTGTTTCGATGGCTGGTTTCGTTGTAAGCCCTTCAGGCTTTTTGATTGTTCATGTGTATTGTTTGTAACGTGTGTTGCTTTTGTGTCCATTTTGGGCTGATTTATGTGCTTGTCTCTTTTTGTTTACTATGCTATGTACTTCTATATGCGCTGGCGTTCCGCGAGCGCTATGTCATGGGTTCGTATCCTGGCCGGGGAGGATTTACTGGGCGCAAATCCTTAACTGTAGCCTCTGTTTAACGCAACAGTAAAATGTGTACTTGGATGTAACAACGATTCTTCGCGGCGGGGATCGTATTCCAGGGACCATAGGATTAAGGACTTGCCCGAAACGCTACGCGTACTAGTGGCTGTACAAGAATGTAACAACTCTTCTATATATCTCAAAAAAAAAATATGTGTTTTCCTGTATTTGTGTGGGTATGGGTTGGGGGATTATTGTTTTGTTCCGTTGTAACTTGTACTTTTGTTGTTGGCTTCTTTTGTATTGGTTTTATGGCATTTATGTAGCACGCTTTTGCATGTAAATAAGATAAACAAAAAAATGAGTTTTTACATTTTGAAGTCTTCCACCTGAAAAGTGGCTGGTGTCACATGGGTCAACTTCTAGACACTGTTCTTGTTCTGTGTCACTGTTCTTACACGGTGTCACTGTTCTTGCTCTGTGTCACTGTTCTTACACGGTGTTACACTGTTCTTACACGGTGTCACACTGTTCTTACACGGTGTTACACTGCTCTTACACGGTGTTACACTGTTCTTACACGGTGTTACACTGCTCTTACACGGTGTTACACTGTTCTTACACGGTGTTACACTGCTCTTACACGGTGTTACACTGTTCTTACACGGTGTTACACTGTTCTTACACGGTGTTACACTGCTCTTACACGGTGTTACACTGTTCTTACACGGTGTTACACTGTTCTTACACGGTGTTACACTGTTCTTACACGGTGTCACACTGTCCTTACACGGTGTTACACTGTTCTTACACGGTGTTACACTGTTCTTACACGGTGTCACAGTGTTCTTACACGGTGTTACACTGCTCTTACACGGTGTTACACTGTTCTTACACGGTGTTACATTGTTCTTACACGGTGTCACACTGTTCTTACACGGTGTTACACTGCTCTTACACGGTGTTACACTGTTCTTACACGGTGTTACACTGCTCTTACACGGTGTTACACTGTTCTTACACGGTGTTACACTGCTCTTACACGGTGTTACACTGTTCTTACACGGTGTTACACTGTTCTTACACGGTGTCACACTGTTCTTACACGGTGTCACACTGTTCTTACACGGTGTTACACTGTTCTTACACGGTGTCACACTGTTCTTACACGGTGTTACACTGTTCTTGCTTTGTGTCACTGTTCTTGCTCTGTGTCACTGTTCTTACACGGTGTTACACTGTTCTTACACGGTGTTACACTGCTCTTACACGGTGTTACACTGTTCTTACACGGTGTTACACTGTTCTTACACGGTGTCACACTGTTCTTACACGGTGTTTCTTACACTGTGTTCTTCTTACACGGTGTCACACTTCTTACACGGTGTCACACTGTTCTTACACGGTGTCACACTGTTCTTACACGGTGTTACACTGTTCTTGCTCTGTGTCACTGTTCTTGCTCTGTGTCACTGTTCTTACACGGTGTTACACTGTTCTTACACGGTGTTACACTGCTCTTACACGGTGTTACACTGTTCTTACACGGTGTCACACTGTTCTTACACGGTGTCACACTGTTCTTACACGGTGTTACACTGTTCTTACACGGTGTCACACTGTTCTTACACGGTGTCACACTGTTCTTACACGGTGTCACACTGTTCTTACACGGTGTTACACTGTTCTTGCTCTGTGTCACTGTTCTTGCTCTGTGTCACTGTTCTTACACGGTGTTACACTGTTCTTACACGGTGTTACACTGCTCTTACACGGTGTTACACTGTTCTTACACGGTGTCACACTGTTCTTACACGGTGTCACACTGTTCTTACACGGTGTCACACTGTTCTTACACGGTGTTACACTGTTCTTACACGGTGTTACACTGTTCTTGCTCTGTGTCACTGTTCTTACACGGTGTTACACTGTTCTTACACGGTGTTACACTGCTCTTACACGGTGTCACACTGTTCTTACACGGTGTCACACTGTTCTTACACGGTGTCACACTGTTCTTACACGGTATTACACTGTTCTTACACGGTGTTACACTGTTCTTACACGGTGTTACACTGTTCTTACACGGTGTTACACTGTTCTTACACGGTGTTACACTGTTCTTACACGGTGTTCACTGTTCTTACACGGTGTTACACTGTTCTTACACGGTGTTACACTGTTCTTACACGGTGTCACACTGTTCTTACACGGTGTCACACTGTTCTTACACGGTGTTACACTGTTCTTACACGGTGTTACACTGTTCTTACACGGTGTCACACTGTTCTTACACGGTGTCACACTGTTCTTACACGGTGTTACACTGTTCTTACACGGTGTTACACTGTTCTTACACGGTGTCATGCCCAGGCTTGGTCTTGTAAGGAAACAAGTGTTATTTACAAATAACCAAAGTGGAGGTACTGAAGCTAGAGAATGGCGTGCCTGCCTTGGTACGATACATTAATAACATGTAAGTTACTGGCTGGTTTTGAGAGATCTAAGGTAGTGAATTAGTTATGTATTAAATTTCCAGTAGATTATACCATTTATAATATGTCTTTGTAAAGAGTGGTGGTGGAAACACTGTTGTAAACTTGATAGTTACTGTACGACATTTTGCCCCGGCGTTGCCTGCGCGAAACAGTTGAAATTCCGGCCAGATTCACGAAGCAGTTACACAAGTCCTTACGAACGTGTACATCTTTCCGAAATTTTTGACGGCTTGATTACATTTATTAAAGTTTACAAGCATGAAAACTTGCCAATCAACTGTTGGTATTGTTATAAACAGCCTCCTGGTGCTTCGGAACTCATTAACTGTTTAATAATTGTAAACAAAGCCGCCAAAGATTGAGAAAAGATGTACAGTACAAGTTTGTAAGTGCTTGCGTAACTGCTTCGTGAATATGGCCCCAGCGGATGTCCTGTGTGTTCTGCAGGAATTCCTTAGCAGATAAGTCCTGTTTATAATTAGTTACCGGCCACCTCTCAGATATATATTGTATGTTTACCAAATGCAACTTCAAGGATACTCCAAAGTGTTTGTGTAGAGTTAGGGAGCCGGTCGGCCGAGCGGACAGCACGCTGTACTTGTGATCCTGTGGTCCCGGGTTCAATCCCGGGCGCCGACGAGAAACAATGGACAGAGTTTCTTTCACCCTATGCCCCTGTTACCTAGCAGTAAAATAGGTACCTGGGTGTTAGTCAGCTGTCACGGGCTGCTTCCTGGGGGTGGAGGCCTGGTCGAGGACCGGGCCGCGGGGACACTAAAAGCCCCAAAATCATCTCAAGATAATTAACTTGGAGAGGTTCTTGTATGACTTTGGGTGTATGAGGGTAAACCCACCATGTGTTTCCGTCAGAAACTGTTTGGGCTTAGAATGTCTTGGTTGTAAACTGTTATCTCTATCAAAGGGGAATTCTGATATTAGAGTAAATGTCAACAAGACATACCCAGTGTTTTGTTACGGGGGAGTAACCGTTGTGTAAATATAAATAAATAACTACACCCACTTATCCATATCCCGTGTACCATGTATCGAGGACTCATCATACACTCATTGAACGGAAAGTGAAAATTAATTAGTAAGTTTATTGAGGTATAAATACACACATAGGGATGAGATAGCTCATAGATATATTTAGACAGGTTAATCTTGAACAGTGTCCCTGGGGGTTGCGTTTAGTATCTCTGTTAGTATTGGTCGCGCCTTGGTGAAACTCTAATTGTTGTGCCTTCAAGAGGAAGGAAGTAAGCAGGAGTTTCTCTTGTTGAGCCTGCCAGGCGACGTTGTGAACTCGAGTCGTGGACTGGAGGAAGCCTTGCGAGGCAGTCCTGAAGCATTTTTGTAGCGGCCTGTGTGGGCGCCATATTTGAGCTCCAGTGAGTGAGCGTCCTCACATCAGAGATTTCGACAGTAAGCCTGATTAATCAGTTGTTAATTTAGTCACTAGTGTTTGATCGTGTGCCCAGCAATCATAATGAAAATGTGTGAACACCGCTATGTGTGTGGAATAGATATTTTATTAAGACAGTGCGTTAAAATAAGTAGTTAAAGTTGGCAGGACATGCTAGAGGGAGCGGTGATACGTCTGCTCTTGCCGAAGGTCAGTGGATGACTGAGGGAGGAAGCCCCCAGCGTCGTGACAGGAGCGGTGACGCGCCAGGACGTGTTCCCAGGTGGACCCGCCCAGGATGGGGGAGGACCCACCCAGGATGGGGGAGGACCCACCCAGGATGGGGGAGGACCCACCCAGGATGGGGTAGGCCTGCCCAGGATGGGAGAGGACCCACCTAGGATAGGGTAGACCCGCCCAGGATGGGGTAGGACCCGCCCAGGATGGGGTAGACCCGCCCAGGATGGGGGAGGACCCACCCAGGATGGG